ATATTTAGATTGATTGATTGTTATGATAGGATGTATTTTTTGGGAAGACGTGCTGAGAAGAACCTATCAGTGAAGATTTTTCGGGGAATGGCCATAAAAGTTTATGAGTCGGAAACGAGATCTTCTATGAACTTCTTTATGTGCCGAACTTCTTACGTTTTTAATGTTGATTGTGATGATGATAATGGTTACAGCAGCACTGATCAGTACGGTCCAGTTGTTTAATTCAGAAATATAGAGGCAGTATCATATGGCATTAAACGCATCCAATAGGCAGGTGGTGAAGGAAGAACTTCAGAGGCATTCAAAATGAGCTATTTGTCGGGAGATAGATATTCATGTTGTCTTGAATGGGTAGTTAACGATTTAAGTTAGTATAAGGAATAATCTGGAGTAATACTTGAGGAGAATGCTATAGTGATCGATGGGTATACGCATAACTAGCATGCTAAACTATGCAACAGATCGCAGTTAAATTTGTGCTGTTATAATTAAAATAATGTAGTTAATGTTGCTATATGGACTTGATATACTCATACATGTAATTATATGATGTACATAGTCAGTAATGGGAATGGAATCTGCGGATTTTTGTCGTTTGAAGAGTTCAAGAGCACATGCACTCGCACACATGCATAATCATGGCGTTTGATCACCGCCCTAATCACAAATGCTGAGGAATGCATTGTAGAAACGATGAATACTATCTCATGTTTTAGTCATCATTCGACGATTATATTTATCTCGTCCTTCACCAGATCATGCATTTTTTACTTATCGATTCCTCTTCAACACGCAACCAAACGACCGAGAATAACTGCAACATTAAATGAACTAATAGTAAGACGCACTGCACTGTACAGTGAATTTTATGAGGGGATTATCATCGATATTCACCGAACAGATCAACCAAATAACTCGCATTAGCAAATCCGATAGATCGTAATGATATCACCTAGACCCATCTTGATGTTCTTCTCGCAGTGGTTATTCATTGCGCTGTCAAATTCTTTTCTTGACGTTCAATCGCACTTTGATATGATGAAGAAGGAGATAGTGACGAGGTTAATGATATATGAACATGGCACATACATCTGTATCATTGGAATCGCACGTCACATTCGGGACGAACAGGAAATAAAGATATATTTCATTTGAAGATTCGTTATTGCTAAAGCATTTTAGTGATTGAGGTTTAGAAAACGGTGTGATCGTTGAATTGATTAAATGCAAGAGGTTGCGAAGTTCTCATCGAACAACCAACTCGTGTAATAATTTTTCACTTTTGAAACATTTCGCTGAAAAAAATTATTTGAAACAATTTCAGTATTGTTTTTTCAAAATGAGTAACGTTGAACTAATGCTTATAGTAACCTTGAAAGGGAAGACTACATTTCAAAATGTGAATTCAATGGATAAGTGAAGTATATTGAATATAATTGGAACATTTTTGTAATTAAATATCCGTAGAGATCGCAAAATAAATAACTGCAAGAAACAGGCCCATACATAATGTTTTTTCAATGTTCAATAATGAGAACAGAACAGAACGTAACTAGTACCATCTTAACGTGTACGTATGCTTTTGATTGGGTGAAAATAATTTAATAATTTGACTTATGAAAGGAAGAGAGGGCATCCTTTCCAAAGTTCATATGAAGGACGGTTTGTGGTGACCTTGCATGCTTGTTGTTTGAAGTGAGTTGTTTTTTGTTATGATGGTTGGTTGAGATGGTTTGAAAGCACTGAAATTTCATCGAAAATTATTTCGAGGGTAACTGTGGCTTCATTGATGCTGCACATAAGGGACATTGTAATGCTGAAGCTGCTCGTGAGGGAAAAGGATCATCCTGCACAAAAATATGCAGATCATGAAAATGATACTGATTCTCAATGAATACTTGAAGAACATACATATCGTTAGTTGTGTCTTACGAAGCAGCAAGTAACTGAGATGTCAATAACATTCCAATCGGTTACAGTAAATGAATGTACGATCAATAATGATTTCGAGTTCATAAGAAATTGAATGGATGGCTTCAGTTGTTTTCTAAGTTGTGTGACTAAGAACGAAAACGATTTCAGGCTCGAATGGAGATAAACGATTTGTTCATCGACCTTGGTGATGGTGTGATTTTGATGAAGTTGTTGGAGATAATATCTGGAGATAAGTTGGGAAAAGCAAACCGCGGACGAATGCGTGTGCAAAAAATCGAGAATTTGAATAAATCACTGGATTATCTGAAATTCAAACGTATTCAGGTGAAGTTTAGTTGTATCGAGAAAACGCTCGAGAGCGATTGGTTGAATTGCATTGTGCCGATTAACTTTTTGCCGTATTTTACAGTTGGAGAATATTGGAGCAGAGGATATATTGGATCGTAATGAACGTCTTATATTGGGTCTCATTTGGACGATTATTCTACGTTTCCAGATTGATACAATCTCAATTCCGGTCATTTTTTAGCACTTGTTTCTTTGCGTATGGAGCATTCCAAAATGTCATGTCATTTCATCTCCCTGCACACTTTGATGTGAACAGTTGATTGATTTCACAGGACTGGTGATGAACTGTGATTTTTCGAATCTTTTAAGCTCATTAACTGACGGATATATGAGATGTATGGAAGGATATCATTCACTTATGTGTTGCGTATATGTAGGTATCAGTCAGGATGGATAGCTCCATGAAAACATGAGATGACCATAATTTTTTTAAAATGAACAATGAATTCAGATGGACGAAGAAACAGGTGAAAAGAAGCACGCAAAGGATGCATTGTTATTATGGTGCCAAAGAAAGACTGCTGGCTATCCAAATGTTAAAATCGAAAATTTCACAACGTCATGGCGTAATGGACTTGCGTTCAATGCTCTTATTCATGCTCATAGGTATTATGTGANTCGCACTAGGGTTTTGAAAATTTGTTGAGAATAACTCTGTGAAAAGTTTGAATCAAGAAATTGCAGCCGACAGTATCATAGAAAATAATTTATAAAGCGATGGTGGTGTTACTGTAGCGAACGATATGAACTTGCAGGCCAGATTTGATAAATTACGATAGCTTATCACCGCAAGATCCAATCGGAAATCTGAACAATGCATTCGATATTGCCGAGAAGAAGTTGGACATCGCACGCTTATTGGACGCAGAAGATGTGAACGTTTCACATCCGGACGAAAAGTCCATTATCACATACGTTTCGCTATATTACCATCACTTCGCGAAGCAAAAGACCGAAATGACCGGTGCAAGGCGAGTGGCGAAGGTTTGTCATTGAGCAATGCTGAATTCTTATCATGAATGATAATTGCTAACTGCTATTCTCTAGCTACTATTCTGTTCATCTTGTTCGCTTCGTTTCTAGGTTGAAGGTTTCTCTTTAAATGTTATCGGTCGCCAGTGATCATCATTTGTATTGTAAATTATTATTTGAACTGATAATATTGCATAGTTGAATAAGATAGAATCGCTCGTTATAGATAGTCGGAAATCTGATGCAAACAGATCATTTGGAAGAAGATTTCGAAACACTTTTCTCGGATCTTCTTAAATGGATTCAAGACACTATCGTCAAGCTAGAGGCAAGGCGTTTTCCGAACTCGTTAAAGGGTATACAAGACGAACTAGTGCGTTTCAAGGCGTATCGCACGGTTGAGAAACCACCAAGGTTTGTTCCAGTTTTCTGATAGTTTTCAGTAAATTCGCCTCTTGTCTCAGTGATTCGAAATTTCAGCTGAAGATTTCACCTAACATTTTTCTATCATTGTTGTTCGTGAAATTATTCGAGCAGTTTCTCTGCAATGAAGATTCTCGCATTTTTTAGGTATAAAGAAAAAGGTGAACTGGAAGCACTTTTCTTCTCAATCCAAACGAAAAGAAAGGCAATGAGGCGAAAGCCGTATGTGCCTCCACAAGGTATCGTTTTGATTCTGAATAGAAGAAAATCTTCGTTGATTCTGACATTTAATGCTATTAGTTTGCATTTTTTGAATGTTGTTGATCGGAACATCGATCCATAT